AGTTGCTTCTGATCCTTAATGGGGAGAGGACATCGTGCCTTGCATTCCTGAGTCTGAGAAGCCAGAACTAAGTAGGTGAGGAAGATCATCAGTGAAACAACTAAATGCTACTTCATGCAGCCGCTAATTCCTTCCTTTATAGTACCGTTTTTCTTCCGTCTACCCTGCATAGACATTGTCCATCCTCATTTTACTGTTTCTGTTCCTCTAAGAAGTGATAAAAGACGTGCTCAACTATTTCCTAAATATTATGTCGGTTTTATAGGTAGACTGTATGATTTCATGTAGTTGATTCTAACATGAGAAGCAGACAAAAGACGTACGACGGACCGAGGAAGATGAATTTATTTTACAGTTTGGCATGCTCAATGGAGCGGGACCAGGACACGGGGAGGGAAGTCGCAACGTTTTCTGTTCAAGATTCCCTGTTTGATAGTGACGGCACTTTCTCCCCATCTTTCCGTAGCCAACCGGCATCTGGAGTGGATTTTGTGCTAGCAGACACCAAGGAACATGATTACATTCGGCTAACTGTGCTCTAAACTGATTATGCATGTGCCAAGCTAATGGACTACATTTGCAAGAGGAAAAATAACATCCAATCAATCTCAATTACTGCCGATTGCACCGGCCCCCGAGACAAGAAAGGTAGCCACCTCCCCCCAAGCTTCTCCCCCTCCTCCCCCAGCTCCTTACTAGACACTGAGGCCTGAAGCCAGGCCTAGTTAGGCCCCATCGTTTCCACGTTGTCAGAACAACCAAGGCCGGGAGCGAAAACAGCTTCGATAAACAGAATTATCTAAGTGTCATATTGCAAAATGGGTTTATTTAAGATTAATCTCAGAGGTATTCTAAACATTTTTAAAACATGTCACAGACCGATGCCCAGTTAGTGTTGCAAGAGAACCATCTGTGTTCAGGGCTATCCACCCTGGAAGCGGACGGACAGATGTCCATCGAGCTCTTGTTGTAGCCACTAAAATCTCTCTGGTGCGTAAAAAAAGGGGGAAAAGGTGAAAATAAACTTCAGAGCAGAAGAATTATTGGCAGAACATAGAAGTCATAAATGGTGCTTTTCAAGTGAGAGCGCAGGGGGAGACAGCACCGGCCCTCGCTGTGTGGTGGTCCAGTGGTCAGGAAGACTTGCAGGATCATTCTGTGGTCTTCTGGAACATTCCAAATACATGGGTTGGTGGGGGTGGTATTTTTAGAAAGCCCTAATATGGGTTACATACCACAGACTCTCAAATTATCCCATCCAACTTAGCTCTCAGCTTAGACCTTCCTTTTTAATTCCAGTAATTACAGACTCCCATTTATATGGAGCTGTGCACACAAAGGGCCTGTTTAATGCAAACCAGTTTGATTTGGGTGAAGTGTCCCAAGCATCGCCCACATCTTACAGCCTGTTTATGCTGAGCTGATGATTTATTTCTCCCCTTTTTAATTTTCCATTTTTGTCCACGCACATTATACCAACCGTAGTTTACGGCCGTTGGTGAGCAGTGTGGATTTCTGCCCGTCAGTCTCACAGCCAGGGATGTAAATTCACACTGGTGAGAAAACCGTGACATTTTCAGGAGCGATCGCAGCCGAAAAGCCTCACAACCACGTACTTGTCACACTGGTGAGTCATAAACTGCTTTAATGATTCATGTCAACGCGTGCGCATCTTTGTTTTTGAGTGGTGTCAAGGATGAGGAGGAGCTTAGACGGGACTTCAGCTTTTTTCTGGTTTGGAGAACAGGTAAATTGTGGACAAACGCACACACTCTTAGTTGGAAGATCATTTGGTCTTAAAAAATGGGGAGCCATCTTAAGAGGCTTAAGTCATAGAAAAATTAGCATGCGTGGATGTGTTGAACATATTTAATCCCCCTCAGCCTAATGCTAGTGTGACATATGTCTTTTTTTTGGGGGGTGGGGGGGGTGGGCATAGAAAATAAAAGAAATGGAAGAAATTAGAAAGTAGAACCCTATCCTACAAGACAAAAGCATCCCTTGTGATGCAAGAAGAGGTGCAGCATCCCTGAGCCAGTCTAGCTTGGGTCTAATGAGGTTTGGGTCCATGAATCTAAGAAGAGGAGGACCACGGACTGTGAAATGCACACACTGATGCAAGAAATTAACAAAATGTGTTGCACATTGTCATCACTACCCTCTAAAAGGAATTCCTTCTGGTACAGACCATGACCTGACAAGCCAAACACCTTCCCACTCCCCTGGTTCTCCTTACCAGGTGCAGCAAGAGCTCTCCATCACACCGGCCCCTTTAACAAAACACGCTAAATTGATTTCTCTATTATACTGTTGTTTCAGCACAAAAGCCCTGTGGGCAGGAAGTGTGTCTGTCATGCCAGTGGCTGTGAGGGAGCTTTCACAATGCTGAAATGGTTTTCAAACAGATGGGATTCTTGAAGGGGTTTGAAATGACCGCTTCACCCTAGGTTTTACTGAAACTGGTGCATCATGCCTGAAGCAGCATATTTCCCGTGTCTTGTAATAGTTCCGCTGTAAAATACACCATCACTGCATTTCCTGTTTACTTTTAAAAAGTCAAGCGCAATAATAGTTTCCTCCAAAAACAAAAAAGTGAATTTATTTGTAAATCACAAGCTTATGCTGCCTATGAGATGCCCGGTGCTTGTGTGTGTTCTGCTTTGTGTGTGTGTGCAGGGGCGGCATTAGGCCCGGCTACTTGGGCTGAAGCCCCGGATCTTTCATGATAAGCCCCGGATCTAAATCGCGGAAGTAACATGCAGTACCAAAGTCCAACAGAGAGGGCGCAACTGGCAGTAGTTTGTATACAGCCTGCCTGAGCCTCCACCACTGAAGAAGAAGCCCTTCAGCAGCCGGCTTCTTCTACACTCTCTGCCTGAAATGCATGAGTGAAGATGGACATAAGGATGTTTTTTAGACAAAAAAGAACAACGACAGAACCCCAGCTTTGATGAGACTGCTGCTGACTCAGGTTTGTGAGTCTTGTTTGAAAATATTTGTTGTGCTGCTGGTTTGCCTAAAGTTAGCTTACTATCAGGTAAAGTTGTTGGAGAAAGAAAGGGAATATTTACTATCATCTCACACTAAACACCAACAGGAACAATACTCTGCCCTGAATATGCTTAATATGTAGCTTCAGATAAAAAATTATGTGGTACAAGACATATCTATATATATATATATGTATGTATATATATACGTGCATGTGTGTGTTAAGCCCCGGATCTACTTCAGTCCTAAATCCGCCCCTGTGTGTGTGTGTGTGTGTGTGTGTGTGTGTGTGTGTGTGTGTGTGTGTGTGTGTGCGTGTGCGTGTGCGTGTGCGTGTGTCTGTGTCTGCATGTACAACTATGCCAGTCTGGGTTAAGCGCAGACTAGCCGAAGCCGCAGACATACAGGATAGGCACCTAAGTGGAATCAGGCCTGTTAGATTTATGGCCATTTGTTCGGAGAGTGTTCATCCACTGGCTATTATGGAATGATTAGAGGAGAAGGTGAAGCTCCAAGTCCAGCAAAAATCAATACAGCTGTCGAGAACAATTCAGCCCTTCCCGCTCAGAGGAGTATTAGCACCAAACCTCTGTCTCCTAACACTTCTTCATTCGTCTCCTAGTGATTTAGTCCTAAGCTTCCAAACCAGCTTGTCCTGCCATGCTCCTCTCATGGCAGCGCTGAGCTCTGCTTCTATATGACAGCCACACAACAAAACTAAAATGTTAAGCCTTGGAGAAAGAGCTTGTGGGAAGCACGCAGTCGTACGCGCTTGAGTATCAAAACACCCAGGAGACGACTGAATAAGTGTTTTGTCATTCATTGGAAACAGTTTCCAATTTTCTAATTCTTTATCTGAGACAACAAACCATCCTCAATACAAATTAATTATTTGACTGCATTGGATTATGGATTCGTTTTAAAACAATGTGGTAGAATGTGCAATCAGGGAACAAAACGGTGAATTTCTACAACTTTTTTCAACCAAATTTTTGCAAATACATTTGCAGTGGTCTCTTGTAGGGATGAATGCCTTGTAAGTCATTCTCGGACTTACTTTCTGAATCAGGAAGTACAATTCAGCTGGAGGAGAAGGTAGCTTCAGACACAGGATTTCCTGATATTTGGACACCTCGCATCTGACTGGCTAACAAAAATGCAGCATTACCACACACTCCATTTGCTCTGCAACACAGTTGTTTTATCTCCACAAATAACACAAGCCTGGAGGAGTTCTGCCATGTGGTGGAGTTGCTAATGCTAATGGTTAGCTTCTACTAGCCAGACGTTTTTTGCTGTTACCTGGACGCTAAATCAACAGCAGCCTTTCCCGTCACGAGTCAAGATGGATGTGTTCATGAATGTTAAAGGCACACTTGGCAGTTTTGTCTTGTGTTTAGCACCCCCTAGTGTCCGTTTTGTAGAACGAAAAGAGAAAAATATCTCCTTGCTGTGCATTCGCCTTGTTCACCCCTTAAACTAACTACTGAAATGTCTCCACAGCCTTCATCAGCATCTACAGGAGTGTTTCATCAATAAATTAAACAAAGCATTTAAGTTCAAGATCTAAAACTTGCAGGAAGCAGACTGCAATGCCAGGCATGTCAGCTCCATTTTTACAAAGTCCAACAGGTGGTGGTCCACCACTCTGAAGTTGCAAGTGTGGTATTCTGGCCACAGGGGGTGGTGGGTTTCTGACTGACTTTTCATTAACTATGTAAAGGTTCATTTGAGAACATTCTGGCTCAAGAAAATGACTTAAAAACACGAATAAAATGTCTTTCTAAGGGACACAGTGACATAGATCTGTCAGGCTTTTCAAATCCTAGATTTTCAAAGTTTCTAAATTCTATCAGAAGCTATTGCAGGAACATGATCATATTCAGCCTGCATGAAAAACCCAGATAATCAGAAATAATAATTAAAAGATGTTTTGTCAGTGCTCTACACCTTTAGTTCTTCATAAAGACTGAGCGGTAGGTATGAAAATAATCTTGCAGACCACTAACCTTATACAATTTGAGGCTTGCCTCATGGCGGGTATTGACAGTGTGCATCCTCAGCTTCTCCAGGCTGTTGGTGTAGTAGTCACAGGCGTTACACTTCAGATGTACAGGGTTGCCAATGGCCACACATTTCAGGCGCCACTCATTGCCTTTGCCCCCTTCTTTGATGTGGGCCACAAGCTGGTACTTCTGCACGTGCTTGTCCGTTTTGCAGTGCAGCTGGAAGTTGGCCTTTAGCTGAGTGGTGTAGTGGCACAACTTGCACTGATGAGAGTCTCCTACCACGGCACGCCACTCCTCCTCCGGCAAGCTCCGTTCAGCTCCCATATGCATGCCGAGCACATCCAGGTTGTCAGTGGTGAAGCGGTTGCACACCGCACACTGAAAGAGCTTCAGGGAGGGGTCTGTGGTTTGCGATAAACTTTCTCCAAGGGTCATCAGTTCTTCGGACACCAACTGCCCACCGCCAAGACGCATATCCATGGGGATTTCTCCGCCTACAAAAGAAACATCAAGAAGTTAAGGGTGTTGTGGGGTTAAAGATTCAAGAATACTTAAGTTTTCCGACGCTGGTCATAACCCAGATGCTTGACTTTTAAAAAACGTTCACACAATCTGCCGGTGCTCAGGTTGCCTGTGAGTAAATCAAACAAAAGGAATGCATACGTCCTTTGTACAGTGTGGATGAAAAGCACCAACAGCAGGCTCACACGCTCTGGCACCAAACATATATCTGATTCTGTGGAGTCTGGGAAGACTCCCTTTAAAAACGAACGCTGAAAAAATGACTTAAGAGGTGGCACTTTTGCCTTTACTCGCTGTTCTTTAATCTTTCACTGCCCAGACTGAGCATGCAGGCTTGACCCGGCCTGGCTTTACACTAAATTAATTCCAGCAGTTCCTTTTTATTTATTGCTGCAGTAGGCAGGCTGTTCTTGGACTTTTCTCCATTACCTGGGCTTTTATAGCCAGGAGAGGGAGACCTTTGAGAAGTCCTATGAAATCACTCAGAACCAGGGCTCCTAATGCTCACTTACACAAACACACAGATACACTCACACACACCATACTAGACCTGCACCTCCATCTCTCACAACTCCCACTCCCTCATGGCTTCATGCGCCGTAACTATACAGATCCATTGATTTACAATAAGGATTCTGCTTCCCAATAAATCTGGTTGTAGATCATTAGGCCAAGGCTGTGAATAAAAACGATGCACCTGCTTTCACACAAGTTAGTGAAACCCCAACACTGAAAACTAATATACTGGGTGTTGAATCATTCTTTTTTTTTTTTTTACAATAATAGATTCCAAGTACTTCCACAAATCACCTTCTTTGGAATAAAAGAACACCTCTCCTGTGCTGATGTGCTGTTTTCTACAAACTACACAAGTAATTAAAACATCCGCACCGTCCCACTCCCTCGCTTTAATTCTCCTGGTCACCATCTGATATCATCTTTTCAGTTCAGCAGCCAAGTCGTGGGACTGAAGATTGCTGCGGGTTCAACTTCTGTTTTAAGTCTTAAGCAATAAACAAGATGACAAAAGATCAGAGATGGCGAAAGTGAAACTGCCGCTGTGGCTGTTTGGTCTGAGATTTCCTTGCAATGATAGATTCTCTCTCATGAATTACAGTGCCTTATGTACTATATTGCACAAACAACAACAAAGTGTTTGTGTATAACAGTTTAAAGGCTTCTTTAAAGCGTCACCGTGGAAAATATCATTGCAGTCTATTGGCCCGGCCTGTGTGATCATTGAATTCCTGTAGTGTGCTTATTTCAACTAGCTGCTCATACACACACACACACACACACACACACACACACACACACACACACACACACACACACACACACACACACGCGCGCGCACACACACATACACACACACACACACGCGCGCGCACACACACACACACACACACACACACACACACACACACACACGCACCCCTTGCAGTAGTGAGAACAAAAGTTAGTCACACCAATAAATCCTTGTTTATATCAACTAACAGGTGACAGGAGACATGTCTGAACAAAATGTGCAGTTGCAACAAGATCTCAAAATATTTGGCTAAGCTCGCTTTAACCTTTATTCATCTGTAATAAAATAAAATTTACGACTGCAACTGTGGCATCTGAAAGAAAGACATGAGAACCTCCAGGTTTCTGCAGCAGTTTGGGAATATTGGCATTAAAGGGTTGTTGGTGTTTGTGGTAGCAGATGAGTAAGAAGTATCAATAACTCTCCAAGAATATGTGAGAGAAGTAAACGACTATTCTTGTGGATCAGAGATCATTTGTCTTTTCAAAGTAAAATGATTTGATTGACAGTGTGAGCATGTAAACACGAGTGTATTTACAACGGGTACAAACATACCTTCCGGCATGAAAAAGAAAAAGAAAGCATTTAACATGAAAACCAAGAAGCTGAGCCTCTGCATTCCTACTCATACATCCTTTCCCAATGTAGTAAAAATCTGTATTTGTTAAATAAAAGATTAATAAATGTTTATAATTGATTAAAATGAAACTCCACATGAAATGAATATCTCTTAAATTGTTTTATGGGAATTTGAGACATTTTGAATTGAAGAGCGGCACTCACCAAGGGCAGGAGCCAAGGCAGCCATGCTAGGATCCATGTGGAAGCTTCCCATCAAAAACTGGGCTTCGGGTCCAGATGGGTCCATCTTGAGGCCTGGTGGAAGGCTCATGTTCTGGGTCAAATAATACTGATAGAGCTCCGCCTCTGATGGCGAAGGCATAGCTCCCAAGCCGAGTCGTCCGTGTTGCATTTGAGTCACATTCTGCTGGAGAAGCATCATGTTGTGCATGTGCTTCTCACTGGTCATGTGAATGCGTAAATTTCTTGCCACATTAGTTTCATAGTCACAGACTTCACACCGCCAAGTAGGTTTACTCTTGGGCTTGGTTGGTGAAGGGGCTCCACACGGAACAGACATGTGAGTGGAGGTCTGCGTCGGATGGTGGTGAGGAGTGTGATGGCTGCTGGCCTGGGTCACCGAGGGCACAGCCACCACTCCTCCAGGGGTATGTCCAAAGACCTGCTCCTGAGCGGAGCCGATGGAACCTCCATTTTGCAGTGTCTGCATGTTGTTTAGGTGCTTATCCGACTGCATGTGGATGCTTAGGTTGCCCTTTGTGGTGGTGGAGTAGTTGCACACCTAAAATACAAAACACATGGAATGCAATAAAATAACACAAACATGTTTGTGATCAGTTTAAATTTTATATTCCCCCCAAATAAAAAATCTAAAATTGAGCATTGCTACATTCTCTGGCTACATACCTCACACCGGAAGGGCTTGTATCCGCAGGTATAACTTTCTCCACGAGCCAGACGAGGATGACTTTGACCACTGCTGCAATAAACACAGGAGCCTCCAGAATCTGGGTGCTTTTCTTTCATGTGAGCCTCTAACGTCTGCTGGTACTTATAATGCCAATTGCATTTGGGACACTTTAATGTCTTGCAAGAATTGCGCGAATGCATCATGGTCATGTGACCACCTAAAGACCGCGAGGAACCCAAAACGGTATCGCATTTAGGGCACTCTACCCCACTTCCTCCACTTCCACCAGAGCCATGGTTCTGTGAACACTCACCCATTCCTGTTATGTCACAGGAGCCCCCTTGGAGGGAAAGTGAGTGACCAAGAGATGAAGGGTGAAGGTGATGATGATGATGGTGGTGCATGTGGTGATGATGCAGAAGGGCTCCATTTTCCTCCTCCCCTTCTGCTGGGCAATCATTTGGTTCTGGAGCTGTGGCACTATCTCGATTGGCACTTTCTTCAGCAGCAGCATTGGAGGACAGAGGTGAGGAGGAAGTGCCAGCAGTTTCATCCTCGCTCCTTCTGACGGCAGCTGCCGCCATTGCCATGGGAACAGGTGGTCCCTGGCAGTTAAAGCTCAGAGGGAGCTCTGAGGTCCTCCCTCCACCATCTGCAGCTGAACCCTCTTCCTTGACAGAGGAGGAAATGGAAGCAAAGGCTTTGCTGTTGAGTGTGGAACTGACTGCAGAGTTGCAGGCAGAAGGCTGGAGAGTGCTACTAGGCATTAATAAAGGAGATTTGGAATTGCTTTGGTTTGAGACAGCTGGTTCTCCCGCCTCACACCCACCGCTGCTACTTGTACCACCACAGGCCACTGCAGTGCTTTCTGCCTCCAACTCATCTTCTTCCCCTAATAACAGTTCCTCCTCTTCTTCCGAAACCCCTAACTGGTTAGAGAGTTGAGCAATGCTTTCAAGTCCCTCGGCGTTCCCGTCATTCCCCTTGCATGCCAACTCTTTCCCTGCAGGCTCCTCTGTTCTCCCTCCCTGTTTGGGCAGGGCACTGGAGTCTTTGGCAGAGCCTGAGGATGAGGAGAGAGTGGATGCTTTGGAAAGGTTCAACCCACTTAAAGAGTGGACAGAGACATGTGGGGTTTGTTGTTGCTGCTGTTGTTGGAGGCCAGAGTCAGAGTCTTTGTTCAAGAGGGTCTCACTGCCCCCACTATTGCTTCCAGGTTCCAGATGGACACCACTAAATGTGCCGAAGAAGCTCTGCCCAGAGTTCATAGGGAGCAGTGTAGGTGGCAGTGGACTACTCTTATTTTTTGGTTCCAGGAAACTAATAAGCGGTTCTTTGTCCTTCCCAATACCCTGGATGATGGCAGAGGCATGCTTGTCCCCTAATAGCTGCCTTTCGTCTTCACACAGTGTCATGCGGTGATCATGGACGGCGTGAGTGGCAAAAGAACGGGCATAGCCAAAGGACAGCTTGCAGAGAAAACACATTAGAATGGGCTTACCCTTGCCATAAAGAGCTAGCCCATCAAATTTGGAGAAATCCACATTGTTGGGAACATCTTTGGATACACAGGACTTCTTGGCAGACCCATCGCTGTTCAGGTAATCCTTGTTGCTTTTGTGCCGCACGTCGAAGACACGGAAACTGTGCAGGACAGGGCTGAGACCTGCCATCGTTGAGGTATTGGGAAAACCTTGGTCTGAATTACCAAACCACTTCCCAAAAGACGAGGCTATGTGGAAAGTGTTGATGATCTGTGGGTAGACTGAGGATGACGTCCCAGCAGGTTCTCCCAGTTTGCTTCCACTTGTGAGTGAGTTTGTGGGAAGCAGGCCTGGTACCAAACCTTCACTACTTTGGATCAGCTGACTCAGGCTCTCCACGATATAGGCTGAGCCATCTGGCTGATAAACTATTTCTCCAGCCAGATTTTCTACGTCACTGCTCTCTTCTTCCTCCTCCTCCTCTCCTTCCTCACTCCCGCTCTCAGGTGGTCCCTGCTGTTGCGTGGGTTGATGTCGCAAAAGAGTGGGCATGCCCCCACCACCTGACGCTATTGGCACCCCAGGAAAGGGTTGAAGGCTTGGAAAACAGCTGTCAATTTCCATTTCGTCCAAGTCTTCAGATTCTTCCTCTTCTCCACAGCTCTCTCGCTCCTGCTCCACCTCCTCACGACCCTCTCTTCTGCGATGCAGCTGGCCTATGGAGGAGCCCTCTCGATGGGCCAGGGGTAATGTCTGTTGTGGCTTCTGCTGTTGAGAGTGCAGTTCTCTCACCCCGTCATGAGGTGCAATGGAGTTTTGGGGTTGAGACGGATACGAAGCTGAGAGAGACCGGGCATCCAGGGATGGGGCCTGGCTGACACAAGTAACCTGTGAGCTTGAGTGGTCGTTCCAGGGTTGGGGTGCTTGCTGCTGCTGGGAGGAGCTGAGCCCATCCTCTGTCCCAGAAACCACGGGAGACTCACAGCTGTCCATGCTGATGCCTACATGAGGCAATCATCGCATCCAGGCCTGCAAAGATACACACAAGCGATTACCATATTGCACGCAAGCACATACAACTCATCTCTCTTTGAATTCCAAAATTAGAAACAAATGTGTACAGCTTAAATAATTAATATGTTGTCTATTAAGGAAAGATCAAATGTTGAAATTACAAAAGAAAACCCATGCATGGAAATCCTAAAAAGAAAATTAGATGTTTGATGCACCGGATGAGAGACAAAAGTTTGAGACATAACTGGAAAGCTGACACAAAGCTCATTACGCTAGATTAGGCACTTAAAGACAATACCTGAGACGAGCACTAATAAGCCGTCCATGATTCATCTTCCTGCCATATCGCAAAAGTACCAGCTTTTATCTTCAGCTTCCAAACAACACCCCCAATCTTATATTCAGCAAATCCTACATCCGTGTTTAATTAACTTCCAGTCAACCCAACTTAATAGATCAAATATTCTTTGTGAGATAATTAGACACTGAGAAGCCACCCATCAGCACATCACACATTTCCATAACTGGAAGGAAAAGTGAAAATGTGTTGTTAACAGAAATATTCTTTAACAGTTGCACTGTTGCTTCTCTAACTTCAGTTGAACTCGTCGTAGAAACAATAAATCCACACGTGCAAGATTGAGATAGATATGTCTGAAGTATAAGATGAGCGATAAAAGGCGGCGTTTTGGGAGCTCAAAATACATACGCTGGGTTGGGACTGTGTTGCAGCTGTGTTTAGGTTTTTGCATCCAATAAGCTCTACGCTTAGCCTGCTCTCAAACACTCTAGTCATCATCTGCTTCTGAAATAATAAATGGGAGCTGAGCTGTCGGGAGCTGACCATGCCCCGAGCATCTGAGAGGCCCAACACAGGCTGCAATTTAGAGTGCAGAAGAGATAAAATGATAGCGCAAGATACTGCTGAGCTAATAATTTTATTAAAGGGATGCAGCCATCATTGATTAAAGGGGGCAATCGGGCTGAAGCCAATAACTCTGAGCTGCCCTTTAACCCACCATGCTGAATATTACATGAGTAAAGTTTCCCGGCATCAAGCTCACCGCCATGTCCCGGCTGATTAGCACATTCACTGCTTGCACTTGATTTATTTACTTATTTTCTTAGGGATGCAAATTTCAGCTGTGATCAGAATGAAGTCTACCCCACAGCTGAACATATTAACCGCTGAGGGAGAGGAAAGATGGATAACGTTTGTCCGCCTCTTCATGAATGTCTGATCAAACTTTCCTCCTGCAAACAATACCTGAGACTTCTTTAACCCAAACTATGTCCCTCTACTAAATTCATTTGTATTTAGACTTAAAGAGGCACTTTGCTCATATTGTTAATACATTTGCAGTGGTCTCTAGTTGGAATAAATGCCTTGTATGTCATACTTGGGGTTAAAAATACTCTTGTGTGCCTGTTTCAGGAAGTAGAAGTGAGCAGGATCAGAGTTGAGCTTCAGGCAGCAGGATTTGGAGTCTTATTTCCTGATATTTGGACATCTCGCCTCGGATTGGCTGACAGCAACACAACTCAACCAATGAGAGTAGGTCTGCCACTCATACCATCTATTTCAGATGCTAATGGAGGAGATAGGTGTAGGAGACTATTTATTTGTTCAGCCTGCATAAAAAAATTCCGAGTGACCTATTATAATCAGAAATATTAATTAAAAGTTTTCACTCATATTTCAATGCAGTTGGAGTTTTCTCTAGTAGGAATGAATGCCTTGTAAGTTATACTTGATGGAGAAAAAAATAACTCTGGTGCGCCTGTTTCAGGAACTAGCAGTGAGCAGGATCAGAGTTGAGATTCAGACGTCTTATTTCCTGACATCTGGACATCTCACCCTGGATTGGATAGCAGCGATGCAACTCTACCAAGGACAGTAGGTCTGTCAGCCTTTTAAAATACCATCAATTTTCTATCAAAAGCTAATGTTCCACACCTTTTAAGTGGCACTTTACTCATATTTTAATTTAGTTGGAGTCGTCTGTAGTAGGAATGAATGCCTTGTAAGTTATACTTGATGGGGCAACAAAGCTCCGGTGCGCCTTTTTCAGGAACTAGCAGTGAGCAGGATCAGAGTTGTGCTTCAGATGTCTTTTGTCCTTATATTTGGACATCTCACCTTGGATTGGCTAACAGCAACACAACTCTACTAATGACTGGTTGATCTGTTTTATCTCCACAAATTACTCAAGCCTGAAGGAGCTGTGCCGTGTGGTGGAGTTGCTAATGCTAACAATTAGCTTCTATTAGCCAGACGTTCTCTGCTGTTTCCTGTATGCTAAACCAACAACTTGTCACGAGTCAAGATGGGTGAGTCAATGAATGTTAAGTGACAGTGTGACGTAGGTCTGTCGGGCTTTTCAAATACTAGATGTTCGCTGTCTGTAGTACATATCAAAAGCTAATGCAGCAGGTAGGTATAGGAGACAATTTTCATGTTCAGCCTGATGAAAACTGAGAGTGACTGACTATATTTCTGAAATCACAATTAAAAAATGTAATTTCAGTAAAGTACCTCTTTAAATATGAAAAGCCGCTTACAGAGGATCAAACCAAAAGTAAGGACACAAACATGAGAAGAATATAACAATACGGACTCAGCGCCAAACCATTTTTTGTCACTAAACAAACAAACACATAAATAAACTGAAAATGCATCAAACGTGAATGCTTTAAGCTACCCTTCAAACAACATGATGAGATATTGAAGATATCAGACGCTTTGGCCTATTAACAAAATTGCTTTATACAGCCAGACACGATTTAAAGATGGCTGCCATAATGAGTGAGGGGATACCAGCTCTGCTGGTCTGTATGCATTATCTGCTCCATTAATAAGAGGCTATGAGCTCAACAGCCATTTCACACAAATGGACAGAGAGCTGTGTGACCGAAGCCGGAACATAATAAGAGCCACATCAAACACAGTGATTCTTCAAACTAAGAGCTCAATAATAAAATGTGGAGAATTAAATGAAAACAAAAAGTGCATCAAATGAGAAATGTCTGAAAGGACTGTCTGATTGGAATATTTCATACTTACTACAACCATCAGCTCATTTCTTTTCTATTCCAACGTCAGTTTCGACTGGGCTCACGTGTAAAACAAGCAACTACAGCTGCTCCCAAACAATGACCTCCTTATGGTCTCGATGAGTGTGAACAAGCAGAGTACACTGTGGACTGCTGCACTAAGGGTAATACTGCCATCCATTCCCGTTAAAGCTTTAAGATACCACATGCAATTAGCAGCAGACAGGATAACACGATGACTCCTAATCGGAGGCGGAGCTCCGAGCTAGCTCCGCGCGTCCGCTGCTTACAGAAAACAGGATTGCCCTTTAAAATCAAGATGCTGTAATTCAATAACCTGCAGCGGTTGCTGATGAGCAATGGGATTGTCTGGAGTCAGAAAGTCGCAGATGGACCGAGTTGATATAAAACTGTTTGTCTCTTGGATGTCTGCCTATGGCTCAGTGACACCTGTTTAAAGCAGGAAAAGCTTTAATCTCAGGGAGGCACTAAACAAGTACAGGAGACAGACAAAGAGACGCAGCTGAAGTCGAGGGGAAGTGGATGAGGCCGCTGTCTCCGACTCCCGACTGTGTTAATAACCACAAATCAAAATGCAACTGGCTGAAGGTGACTACCTCTGGGTGTTATTAAGTACAGATTTATAATGTAGCATGGAGAAACGAATGCATTCTTCTGCGTTCTCTCACTACAACAAGTGATTAAGCGCTGGCCCCTGACCTTGTGCTGCATTCAGATTCTAAATGCAGACCCACTGACTTGACAACACGCAGACTGTGTGCAGCCAAAACAAGCCCTAGCTGACAATATGAGATAATCAAAGAAGAAAAGGCCGGATTCCTGAGCAGATCTAAGGCCGTGCATGATGACTGTAGAAGTCACACTCTGCTGCCACCTGCCTTCAAGTGCTCCTTGTCGAGGTTACGTTGCTCTTTTTCTGCCGATGTTACATTTCACAACCTCCTTTTCACAGACAAGGTTAAACCTTTTGAAAGGCCTTGATTATAATGAACCGATTCAGAGTAAGAGGCTGTATGTCATTAAGCAGGAATGCAAAATGAGATAATTTTTAATTTATGGGCCTTTTTATTAGGTGTGATTTACCCGTCAACCGAGGGAGGAGTTAAAGGATAGAGGACACATCTGATTGTAAGCACGCCTGATCACCTGCGTTGAACCTCACCTCCAGAGAACCCTGCTCTCCAGAGTGCCCTGAGGGAAAGACTCAAATCGGGGCCTAAACCTGTACTCCTACCTGCTCATACGTCCATAGTAAGGGACCTCTCCTCTTTAAAATGCAAAATGCAGCTTCTTAATCTGCCCTGAGAGCCACTAACACAACAGGAGATCTGACTTTCATTTGTTCCTCCTGATGTCTGCATCTGGACTCTGAGCCATCACAGAGTCTGGCCAGCCACCGCAGGGTAAGGGGCGCTTATTGGAAAATCAATGGTGTGAACGCTAAGCAAGTTACAGGAAGATGTGGGAAGGAAGGGTTCTTATTGATAAAGCAGGGGAAGGCTTTTGATGTTGCACTAGGGACATGCTCATTGATGAGGCAACCATTGTAGTCCTCAGGCAGAGTGAAGCCCGGGTTTATCTCCCAGGTTTGTTCCAATTAACCACCAATAAAGGCATGCACGCTATGCACTCTTTAACATGAGTTCATTCTAATGCCTAAGTTAGCTTAGTGAATTCCTATTTCAGCACACTCAAACACATTTACAGCTGTAAATTTGATCATATGTTTTGCTGAAAATTCTGGTATTTCTTTTTAAAGTTGCAACAATCTTTTCTGAGCAGAGTTAAAACAAACTGAAAGAGCAGAAAAAAGTATTCTACGTAAATGATTATATTTTTATTAGGTGCATGTCTATTAGTCCCCACAGTACAATTCTGATAAATAATCTGCAACATTGTTGTTGTTGTTGTTCTGGAAACACTCGTTCTGCTTTCCTGCT